TTTTTTGTACCAAGGATCAAACTCAGGACCTGACACTTGCAAGGCAGGCAGTGGAACCACTAAGCTAAATCTCCAGCCTAAGGATGCAATTTTAAGACTAAGTGATTGGGATCTACTGTATAGTACTTTCAGTACAGGACCAGCAAGGTCATTTCATTAACTGAGATAAGTTTTACATAGTATTTAATATCTAAGAAACACCATTCAGTACTGTTGCAGGTGTACGCTGAGTAAATAGCATTGAAATGTACCCAGCAACACGTTAAAGATTTGTTGTAATCATGCTCTCCACATCTACCACTCTTTCATGCTTCTTTTCCCATTTAACTATATAACAGCCCTGAGGGACAGGTTAGTTTTAGATAGGAGGAAACAGACTTACTGAGATCAAGTGATTTGTCCTAAACCCAAATTTAATCTTTAAAAATGTTGTATACAAAAAGGCTCTTGTTTATTAAATAGTTTCAACCAAAATTCACTTGAAAACACAAAGCAGCTATCCTCCTTTTACAACTAAGGCTATTTTATGTGCAACTTTTAACTCAGTTGTTGAGAAAATTAGGTAAGAGTTGGAATGACACTGTGTTTTCATCCTTGTCTCTTCTGTCCACTTTCAAAATTTACTTGAATATAGGCCAGGATCTAGTTAGTGGTGTCACACCTGCCTGGTAAGTGCAGGGTCCTGAGTTTGTCCCCCAGTACCAAAAAAAATTTTTTTACTCAAATACAGACTCATAATTTGTCAAATATAAATACAGCATATGTATCGAAGTAAAGGGAAGGTATTCAAAAAAGGAAACTATTAGAAAAGTGTTAGTGTGTTCAGAGACTGGTTCACATAGTGTCAATACAGAGGAAAAGTTTTTAATCAGAATACCTACTGCGATGTGACAGACACATGGAAATGGTGGGCTATTGCTTTTTTCCTCATAGGGCATTTTATAGAGGAAACGTATCAGAAAGTACTGGGCTTACCCCATCACTGCGCTTCCAGTATCAGTCAGGAGCCATCACTTTTACCTAATTATCACAGATCAACAGGATATTGAATATAGACAAGGGGAAGGAAGATGGGGAGAAAAAAAGAGAACAAGCTATATTCTGACTTAAGCTGCAGATGTTCAGGAAACTTGTTCCTGATAGCAGTGATGGGTGTAATGATTGTAGCTCCAAGATTACTAAATATTTTTAAGTGTGCATAGTATATAAAAGTGTAGGGGGCTTGAGGGGGGAATGGAATAAAATAAAATTTTTAAAAATTGAATATTTAAAAAGATAAAAAGTAAAAGTATAGAAATAGTTTATTTTCTGACCAGCAATTCAAAATTATTTCTTCTTATTGTTTAAATGTATACCCTTCTTTTGGAATGCTGCCTGAATGTCCAGTGAGTAAAGTATCCTGCACTCATTTCGCCAGTCTTACGGAGAATGTACTTTACTAATCTGAAGGTGATAGACCATATCATTTATCTTTGTATCCCTAGTATTTAACAAGTTAGAGAGCCTGCTTTTGGAAAAATCATTACATATTTGAAAATTAATTAAGATATGGGAAGATTATATTTTTAATAGCAGCTGTACCGAGGTAAAATTCACATACCATATTTATTTAAACAGTCCAGTTCACTGCTTTTTACTGTGCCATCCCACTGTGATTTTCAACTTTTTCATCACTCCACAGCGAAACTCCTTACTTCCTAGTTACCATCCCAATCCTGCACATCTACAAATCCACATCACAAACACAACAGCCATGGATGTGTTTTGTGTATCCCCATTCTGAACATCTCACATAAGTGAAAGCATGTAATATGTTGTCATTTCTAACCAGATGCTTTTACTCAAAATAATGTTTTCAAGATTCCTCCATTTGTAACATGTATCAGTATTACTTCTTAGTGACAAATAAGATTCCATTGTACAAAAAGGTTACATTTTGTTAATCTATCAGTTTATAAACATTTGGGTTGTTTGTACTTTTTAGCTATTAAAATTTGCTGCTTATGAGCATGTGTGTATAAATTTTGTGTGAACATATGTTTTTATTTCTCTGCGGTTTGAATATAGAAGTGAAATCGCTAGGTCCTATGCTAACTCTTGTTTAACATTTTTGAGAAACTGCCAAACTATCTACCGTAGTGGCTGTCCCATTTTAGAATCCCACAAGGTGTGAGTGTTGTAGTTTATCTTTATCCTAACCAACACTTGTATTCTTTGTATTCATTTTTGATATATCAGTCCCAGTGGGTGAGGATTGGTTTTTCTAATTGTGATTTTTATTTTCCTTTTTCTAGTGACTAATAATGTTAAATATTTTTTGATATTGAACATTTCTATGGAGAAGTATTTTATTTAAATCCCTTGCTTATTTTTAAGTGATTTTTTTATCTTTGTAAAATTTCCTTTTAGTACTTTAAATATACTAAATATAAGTTCTTATCAGATGAATGATCTGAATGCTTTATCCTTTTTGTGGATTCTTTTCACTTTCTTGATAATGTCCTTTGAAATGAAAAGATTTTAATTTTTGTGAAATTCAGGGTATTTTTTGCTTGTCCTTGTAGCATAAGTAGGGAAACATTATATAACCCTTTGTCATATTTATTTTGACTTTTTTCTTTTACTTCTCCTGCCTTACCCTCCCAAGTCTTGGGGTTACAGGCAAGCACCACCATGCCCATCACCTTGACTTGATTTTTATATATGATGTCATTTGCCAGCCATGTTTCCTTTTGTTGCATGAGACTGTCCAGTTGTCTCAGCACCACTTATTAAAAAGACTGTTCTTTCCCCCATTGAACACTCTTGCTACCCTTGTCTAATGTTAACAACAGAATATATTTACACATTTTCTCATCTATTAGATAATAAATTTTCACCAGGTGTTGGATAAATAAGATTTTTCTTTCCTAAATCCCAACAATGTTTTTGTATTGTTCAAAGTTCATTTTTTTCTGCTAGGATTTTTTTAGGCAAATATTTATTAAGTACCTACCAAGTATTTTTTCTAGATGCTTGTGATATAACTGTGAATGAGAGCATTTTATTGTAGGGAGACAAAGGACATAAATCAGGTAACTTCAGATAATACAAGATAGGAAGAAAATAAAATAGATCCATGGTACAAAGAATAACAGGAAGTGAACAATGATCACAGAAGGCCTCTCACAGAGAAAGATTTAAGCTCTCCGTTAGTCCTTTCTTCCAGCAGTCCTAATCTAGGAAGAAGACTGGCATACTTAGGGAGCAGTGCACTGATCAGGCAAGAGGAAGCAGGGGTTGCTGACTGTTGGAGAAGTGATCTGGAGCAAACCAGCAGGCTTTTAAAGTTTGAAAGGTTCTTTCAGCACAAGGAGGCATTAGGATGGTTTTTGTTTTTGTTTTTGTTTTTGTTTTTGTTTTCATTGAGTTTATTGGTCCATTTTAGTTATACAGTAGAGTTACATTCATCATTGGGATCTTGTACCTTTACATTGACAGGTCTTGGTTCTCATTTTTTCCCTTTGTCCCTGCCCTCCCTTCACCCCCTCCTCCCCTCCCTATTTACAAACACTTTATTTCCATTTTTTCATTTTCTCATATTCTTTTCTTTTCCTTATTACCTTTCCCTAACCCTTCCCACTTTCCCCACAACTTTAGCCCTTTTCTTCCTATTTCACAATGTCAATTATCTCATTAGGATCTTATGTATTATTATAGTTTTTCACACCAGAGAAACTATTCAGTATTTACACATGTGTGACTTATACTTATTTATTTCACTTAGAAGTATATCCTCAATATGTATCCATTTTCCTATGAATGAATCTAATTTCTCACTTTTTATGGCTGAATAGTATTCCATTCTCAAAGAAGTAAAAGCAGCAAGTAAACATGAAAAAAATGTTCCACATCACTGGTCATTTGAGAAATGCAGATAAAAACAACACTGAGATTCTACCTCACCCCCACAAAGAATAGCTGCTATCAAGAAATCAACCAATAACAAATGTCGGCTGGGTTGTAGGGAAAAAGGAACCCTTCTCCATTGTTGGTGGGAGTGCAGACTGTTGCAACCACTATGGAATTATAAGGAGAGTTGGGTTTTTTTGCACTTCTTCCTCTGACAGAAAAAATAAAAGAGATGAGGATAGTTTCAAGAGGTTTATTTTTTAATAGGTTTGGAAAAGAGTTCAGGGAGTTCAAAACCAAAATTTCCCTGTGAGAGGTACAGCAGTATATGGAGAAATAAAGGAGGCGTAGGATTGGAAAAAACTTAAACTGCCGTAAGATAAATTACTTTAAACCTGAAGACATTTTGCTGAATAATTGAACCCAACTAGATCCTAATTTTAAACTTCACCCAGAGGGATCATCATACTCTTTGAACCACCAGACTTTGGAAGCTATCAGGGACTCAGAAAATCTTGATTAAAAATTACAAAATAAAACTTAATAATGACTGCTTTAAGTTGAATTCTGGCTATAGTTCATGTAGAAGTGAACTGGTGCAGATTTCTTGGTACTTTAACACTCATTGTAAAGAATCTCTTCCGCAGTTCCTCCTAAATCTCTCACTCTTCTTGGCTTTTGAAAAAAGAAATCTTAGAGCCTACAAATCATGTTTGAATTTCTCCTTAAGATACCATCACCTATTCACAGTTTAGATTTTACTCACCTAAAAATCATAGCAATATAAGCTGCTTTCAGAATTTATATAATGAGAATGTAAAAGGTACTTAGATAATTTCAGTCTCATTTTAGCTCAAACTTTCTGTTTAATCCTGGGGTTTTAATTTTTTACAACAGATACATGATTTGTAACAAAACGTTGCTTGAGTATTATTGGGTTATTTTTGCCACTAAAACTATCTTCAAATTAAAATACTATCTTCATTATTATTTAAATTTGGTAGAAATAATTGCCAGCATCTGGAGAAAGATATAAATTAGTAAACTTTTAGGAATAGTAACAGCTTGAGCATTTTTTCAATTGCAATTGAAAACCAAGAGTCACCTAAAATAATTAGATGTTTAAGTATATCTGGAAATAAGTTTTATCTCTTCCAAAGGTCTTTAATTTTAACTAGTTACTAAAAAAAGAAATTAATTGTTAGCTTATTTAGTTTTTGCATTCAATTTTGTATTTGGAGCAGTGAGGTTTCTAACATGAAAATTACGCCACTCCTAGAGGATTAATGTTTGCATATTTTGCATAAAGCTGCATATACCCTAAAAGAGTAGGCAAAACAGTTTTGTGATTAACTTGGCAGAAGTTCTAGGTAATTTTTTTTCTTTTTTTCTATTAAGAATTTCATTTGCATTTGTGCCTTTAGTTTTCTCCAATATGGAGGTATTAAACTGACTTTGGCAGACTGTGGTTTTTGCATGAAGCAAGCAGAAAAATGTGTTGTAAAAAAAAGGGTAGATTGGTATAGGGTAAACTATCTTAGCCAACCTTTCTGTTGTTGTAAAATTATTAAGCAATTCTTTTCCACAGCATATATTTCAAAAATAGATATTGCTTCACTGTAATGGTCATTATTATTATTATTATTATTATTATTCTAAATGAAGTAGTATATATATATATATATATATATATGCACGCTACCTTTGAAAATGATTTAAATTCTAATTTGAAATCAATACTAATGATAATTAACATCTCAAACCTTGGAAATTGAGTTATCTGCTCTGTTAAGTTGCTACTCATCACTTCATGGACATATGAATAATCTCCAAAGAAAGTTGTCAAGAAAGAACAGAATTCTAAAAATGCTTTAGAACTTATAACTATAATTCTTTTTCCAAACAACATCTTATTTAATAAGAATGGCAAACTCTCTGGTTAAGCAGAGACGTTTAGTGTCCTAGTGTTGGTGGCATTTTTGTATGTTTTACAACAAGTATATTCCTGAAAAGAAAGGTTATAAGAGGCATAGCATGGGGGAGGGACCATATGTAGTTACAGATAATAGATTCATATCCCCATTTATTTGCATCAGATTTTAAAATACATTGTCTGACATATAGGAAAAACGTCTTCCAAAACAAACATTTTTAAGAACTTTTTTTAAGGTGAATAAAATAGTTAAGTGATAAGTATGTCCTTTTGTATCTAGTACTTCCATTTAAAAGCACAGAAGTCCAGGGCTGAGAATTTAGCTCAGTCGTTCTGCTGCCTGCTTTGCAAGCACAAGGACCTGAGTTTGATCCCTGGTACCAAAAAAAAAAAAAAAAAAAAAAAAAAAATTAAAAAAAAAAAAAAAAAAAAAAAAAAAAAAAAAAATTAAAAAAAAAAAGAAAGAAGTCTGGAAGAGTTACTGCATCATTATCATCATACATTGTGCCTAATTCCCTTACTTCTGAATGATGTTGATTATAATAATAACATACTTACAGAACAGTTACTTGTATAGGACTTTATGGGTTACATTTCCTATATAATCTATTAAATAACTCCTTTATTTTTCTGTTTCTTCCCGTGCCACCTTCTTCTCCTTTCCCCTCCCATGTTCCTCCTCTCTGTGGCCCTCTTTCCCTCTTCATCTACCCCCCAACCCCTGTGCTGGGAATCAAATCCAGTAGGCAAGGCCTCTAACACTGAGCCAAACCCCTAGCTCTCTTTAATCTGTTTCTTATTTAATATGTTATTTAATGCTTGAACATTAAATTGTAAATAGCACTTGATAATACTATTTCATCTTTATTTGTGCTTTCCCTGTAAAGCATAGATTTTTTATTATCTCCATTTAAAGATGGGTAGTGAATCTCAAAGGTACTGATTTTATTGTTATTGAAGTACTGTGTTAATATGATTAACATTAATTTTGTTCAGCATTTAATAATAGATCCTGAGAACTTTTAAAGCTGGATGATATTTTAGCACTAATATAACCCTTACTACTTTGAAAATTATTGTTTTATAAAATGACATCATAACAGTTTATGTACTCTAGAACTGTATAAGTATATGGTCTTAATTGACTTCTCTGCTGAATCTGATAAAAGCTTCATGCTCCCAGAGAAAAAAGGTAGTTTAAGATACTGTTGCCTCTTACTGTTTGAAAGAAAAGAGAATTTACACATATATAACTAATGAGTCAAATAATGGATATGTAACAACAACCCAAGTACTGCTCTATACAGAATACCAATAAGGAATTTTTAAATACTAATGTAGTGGTGGCTGGAAATTTAGCTCAGTGGTGACTTGCCTGCCTCACAAGCGCAAGGTCCTGAGTTTAATCCCTGGTACCGGAAAAAAACAAAAACAAAAACTTAAATACTAATGCAGTGGAAGTTCTCTGTACAATTTTGATTATTTAAAGAAAAATAAAAAGGAAAAGAGCTATTTTCTGTCTTTGTTTCTGACACAGGGTCTTGCCATGTAGTTTAGGCTGACCTTTGAACTCACTATGTAGCCCAGGTTGGTCTTGAATTCACAACAACCTTCCTGCCTTAGCCTCCTGAGTACTAAGATTATAGGCATGTAATCTTAGGCCGCCATGCCTAGCAGGAAGAGTTATTTTTGTTCACTAATTTATATGCCAAAAATTATTTCATTCTGTTAATTCACAGGTTGCATATTTGCAATGAATTTCAAAAATTAGGCTGTTCTGAGTTTTCAAAAATAGAGCACATTTTATGATTTTTTAAAATTAAGAATGAATTTTTAAAATAATGAGCAGACTAGATTTTATCTGAAATTAACTAACTTTAATAATTTAATAATAAACATTTCAAACATTTTAGTGATGTATTCTCTTTTTTTTGCACTAGGTGTATTTAAAATGTACTTCTTGCACATTCTATTTTTGTGAGACCATCATACTCAGGCAATCCTAGGTTTTGTGTTATACAGCATTATATTTACTTACAGAAATTCTGCTATATCATTTTTTTTACAGTTGTGCGGTTTTTAAACAGTTTTTATATTTTTTTTCATTTTTTTATTGAGTTTATTGGTACATTTGAGGTATACAGTACAATTACATAAATTATTGGGATTTTGTACCTTTACATGACAGGTCTTGGTTCTCATTTTTTTCCCCTTGTCTGTGCCCTCCTTTTTAAACCGTCTTAAGTGTAAGGTTTTTAACACAGTGGAAGCTGTTACACATGGCAAGTGAGGTTACAGCTGTATTGTCTATGTCACCGTGATTTATGTAAACATAGTAGCACAGGTGTTTTCTGTGCAGTCTCTAAAAAGGAAGTATCTGCTTCATCCCTAAAATGCTAGAGAACATTTTAATTCCTCCTTAATTAAAGCAATCAAGGGATCACTCTTATTTTTTAAACTTTTTGCAGGATTTAGGACCACTGTATTTTAAATTATTACTAATGTCAATTCCATGATAAACAAACTTTAAAAGACTCATTTACTGTCACATACTTTAGCTTTCATTTCCACTGTATTCCTTCTTTGATAAGAAAAAAAATTCTCTTTTGTAAACTATAAAATATAGCTTTATAAATCATGTCCACTCCTTTTGACCTACCATGTGTCCTGGTTTAAGCAGTAAGTAAACATTTCTCATCCAGATTTTGCATCAGTAGCCCAGGAAATTACACTGCACTTTCTGATTTGCCTTTTCTATTGCAGGTCAACAAAAATCTCATGCTTACTTCACCACCTCCAGCCTCCTCACAACAGTCTAAGTTACAACAGTCAAACATGCTGACCGCTGATGAGATGCTACATCAGTTTGGTTTCACTCAGACCGGTGAGCCCCTTTCTTGCTTTAACTATTCTTTTAAGTGTTCAGATGCTTCTTTTTTTAATGAATACAGTTATTTCTCTTCAGAAATACAAATTCATAGCATTGTAATTGCCAGTTTTTGCACTAGATGAATTCAGTCATCTCATTTTTTTTCCTTGAAATCAAAGGTTATTCCAAAAGTAAACAGTAAACTTAGATTTGGTCACTTTAGCAGTGGATGCTCTGAATCTGTGCTCTATTAAAAAGATAATTTAAAAGTAAAAAAAAAATGTGACTTTTCAACAGGAATAAAGTTAAATCTGTTTCCCAGATGGATACAGGAATCATAGTTTATGGATAATCCTATTTTTCATTTTTAAGAATTCCACAGTTAAGTGCATTTTGGATGCAGCCTTCAGTAATAAATAGCACATTCCTTCAATGTTGGCATATTAATAAAATACATGAAAAAGCTAGTTACAAAATTGTGAATCACTAAGTTGAATTATCCAATTGTAAGCTTTAGGAGTCTGGTTTTAAATCAATTTGAATAAGATTTTCAAAGCTATCAAAGAAAAAGTGAGAAATGTTTATTTCTATAGTGAAAGATAATTTTGTTTAATGGCTATATATTTTACAGTATTTTTGCTATTACTGAATTCTTTAAGAAAGGTGAGATGGCTGAAAATTAGTATCTTTGACAAGGAGATTATAATTAGAAATTTGAGTTTGAAAAGATCAACATAATTTCCTTAGGGACAGTATCACTCTTCTAAATGGTGAAATATTTGAAATTTACATATGCAAATTACTTTAATGGTGATTTAAGTTTCGTATCATAATGAGAAAATAATTTACATTCAGAATTCCTACAATAGTCCTGGCTGTGCCATTTATTATGTTGTGAACCTTAGAGTCTTTATTTGAAGACTAAGAATGATGTTTGTAAACATTATGCATTGTTGAAGTACAAATTACATAATGTCTATAAAACATTAAGCATGGTATGATGTGAATGTAACATATTTAAATTGTAAGCATGGTGAATATGTGTAAGTTAGGTTAGAAAATACTTTTAGTTATAATTTCAAATCACTATAACAAATAATTATCTCAAACCTTAGAAACTTAATTGTTCATGTTCCTGATATCTACTAAAAGTTAAAGCAATAGTGTTAATCACTGTTACTTAAAAAGGAAGGTATGGTGTGTACCACCCCTTAGACTCTTACTCTTTGCCCCTTAAATAGATACTTGGTTTGCCTTTAGACTTTGTACTTTCAGTGACTAGAAGAGAAGGAACTTTTCTTCACTCAATTCGTACCATCTTTCTGCTGAGGTCAAAATTTTTCTGGAGATATGCCTTTTGTTCTGCATTTCGGGATTAAAGTGATAGAAGATAAATGTCTAATTGGGTTAATATATTTATTTTTTATAAAGTTCATTTATAGGGTCTTATGTTTTCCTGTCAAAAGGTGTAGACAATAAGTATAAAATGCTTTTTGAAAAATGCTTTCATTTTCTGTGGAGGGGAAGAGCAGAAGGGAAGGCTTTGAAATGGGAAAAGGGATTACCACTGAAATAGCAGGAGTAAAGATAAAGATTAAACAGCTGGGTATGATAAAGGCAAGCCTTGTAAACTTCACAGACTTACATAGGCACAATTCCATCTCCCTTCAGTTTCCGTGGCAATCTAGGTCACGAGTGGGATATCCATATTATGGATGTCTTCCCACATACACGTTATCCCAGCCATCTCATACATGCCAACACAGCTTCACCTGATTTTGCTTTGGTTACTAGTATTCCCGGCCTCATTTTAAGGCATAGCCTTCCTAGAAAATTTATTGAAGTATCACTGTATAGAACAATTTTTGATTGCAAAATTGCAAATAGTCTATTTTATTCATTAAGAAGCTAGTCTTTGTAGAAATCCTAAACCAGGAAGCAGTTGAGTAGGACCTAGACCTACTCCCATTTCTGAATGATTATAGAATCTTGAAAAGTTTCTTCAGGCTTCAGTTTTTTTTATCCCTACAGCTAAATGAAGACTCTGGATTTGATTTGTCTTTAAAATCCTGTGATTTTATTCACTGTTCAAATCAGCTTTAAAAGTAGATAATATGTGTTCTTGACCATACAGATCTATTAGTCTCAAATATAGGCCTGCAAAAACAAATAATGTAGATAAACTGTTCAAGTATAAAAATCTTACTGAAAACCTATCTGAAATACTGAAGATATGTAGTGTCTCTGTACAGAATAAGAAAAAGCTGTTCACGCAGAGCTAAGAATGGCTCACCAGTACTCATGCTAGAAGGTTTAAGTCTGGAGCCAGGGTTATTTTTATATATATAAAGTACAAATGGGACTCCATACTGGAAAGTCAGGCTGTGAATTGAGTTATATTCTGCTATAACTTCTGTTGACCTTATTTAGTCCAGGAAAGGCCTTGGCCAGTGATAATGAAGCTTTTAGAGACTGAGTGCACAAACTGCAACCCCAAGCCCACTTACTTGTCACAGAGTGCCAACACTGCAGTTAAATTTGAATGCTCAGGTGCTGGGTTGATGCTGTGGTGACTTAGCTTTCGTGCCGACAGAGAGAACTCTGCATGCCCACTGTGATACAGATGCCACAGCTTCCCTAGCACTGGTCTAGGTAATTGGAGCTACTAAAAAAATAAACATTTGTTTTCTTTGTTGGTTTTTATTTCTCACTTTCTACCATATTGCCTATTCGTTCTAAAATCATTTTAAGTTACTACCTAAGGCCCTCTCTAAGGATATGAAGTAAGTACTACTGTCTGCCTTGAAGAAACTTATGGACATGTTGGGGAGACAGAAATATGTAGCAAATTAAGTCAGTGTAATAAATTCTGAAATCACAGTATAAACCAAGTGTCACAGGAATAAAAATTGAGTAGAATAGCTAAGAAGATTCTCAGACTACATGTGCAAAGAGAACTCATATTCCCTGACTCCAAAACCATTTCTTTACCTCTACTTCCCTTACCATGTACCAAGTCTATGTGATCTCAGCAATCTCAGTTATTTAGGGACAATTAAGAGCCATTCTTTAAAAAAAAAACAAGTTTTTATTTGCTAATAGAAAAAGATCATCTTTTCTCTGGAGTTTAGTTTCACATCTTTTTTGTTAGTACATATTTTATACATATAGTACACAGATTAGAGAGTTTTCATTTTTTATACATGCACATAACATACTTTGAACATTTTTTACCCCAGTTTCAACCCCTCATTCACTCGCCTACATTTCTCTTTCCCTCCTTTCTACTTGCCCATGCCATAGTTAGGCCTTCAGCCTGATATCCCCAGTGCAGTGATTCCTACACCTACTTTAATTGCCCTGAATAAAATCTTCCTTTCTATGCTTTAACAAGTATCATTGGTTAATTTTTTTTCTTTCACAACACTCAGAACCTGACATGACTGAGGAGTGGTTTGAGCCTTGGAGTAGCTGGAAATGATAGAATAGAATCTGTTTAGGGAGAGCTTGGTCTGCAAAGGTAGATTGAGGGCAAACTTGCACCATACCAAGGAATTCACATTTTAATCTATAGGTACAATGGAGTTACCCTAGATATGAGTATAAAAGGGACATGATTAAATAGATTTTTTAAAAAAATACTCTGATATGTGTGTGAGATGAGCTAGAGAGGAAAAAAATCTATTTACAGCTCTTATGAAATACTTATTTTAGGAACTATTCATTAGGTTATTGCCCTAAATTCTTAATAAATCCGTTAATCATGTTAAAATGAAAACTATATTGTTTCCAAGTAATTTTATAGGAAATAAAATTGCAGTTTTAACATTTTGGGTTAATATTGTTTATAGTCCACTTAAATGCTTTAGTATCTTGTGAGTATTGTTATCCTGCATCTCAAAATTGTTTCCATACTTTTTAATATAATGAAGAAACTGTAATAGCACTTTATGTTTACATAAACATTTACAGAATATTTTTACATATATCTTCACTTGATCCAAATCTCTGAAAAGAAGGTAAACATGAAAATCATACTGAATGAAATCATCTTAAAGATTAGGGTATCTTGAAACTTTTATTATTCAGTCCATTTACAGTGAGCCTTAGAACCAGAGGGACTGACCTGCTGGAATTCACTGTTAACAGCACTCATGGCTATCTCAGTACCTCATCCTCGCTATAGCAAACCACCTTTCCCTAGAGGAAGGAGGGTACTTGCCAAGGACACTGCTCAAGGTCCTTTGTCCCTTCACTTTGACAGCCAGCAGTAGTCCCTCTGGCTGAAGGTATTATCTTTTGTTTTTCTTTTTCTTTTACTAGCTTTAGAGATCTGTGATATATTATGAGGTAATAACCTAAACAAATGCTATTTGGAACAAGTGTCATTTTTTTAAACTGAGGTGTCAAAATATCTCAATTTCTGAGTATAGGAACCCTTATGCACTCAATCAGTTCCCAAAGGAGGGTTGGTTGTAAGTCAGTATAGCTGAGATCTGGATGTTTACCTGGGTACATGTTATAGATAACATGAGGCAGAATCTTCATTAACCTAAGTACTAATTAACCCAAGTTGTTTGTATGTTAGGTCAGTCATAACTTGAGGGTCTGCTGTAATGAACTTATGTTTTTCTTTGGTCTTTAGATATAATTGTTTGCAAATTATTAGATTTTTAAAGGCCTATTCCAATGTGATTAGGCTGTGTAGTATCCAATAAAATCTACAGATTCTATAAAAAGAAATTTTATTCTGTGATACTTTGTCTAAATCCAGATTGCATTCAGCTACCTTAAGTGTTCTCACCATAGAACTAAACTATTTAATTTGGCACGAGGCGGTATCAGCCTACAGACCTTACTATGGCTAAAGCAGGATTGATTAAACCCAAGAGTTCAAAGCCAATTTGGGCTACATAGTGAGACCCTGAGTGAGACCTTGTTTTTTAAAAAAGAAATGTTTAGTAACAAGATCACTCTTGGGCCTGAGATTTAGCTCAGTGGCACCACACCTGCCT